CATCAGTCTCAAAGTACTAACAATTCAAATACAAACAAAAATTACAACCTAACTAATGTCATCAACCAAAATATGATGCATAATTAATCTTTAATTTGCACAATTGTTTAAATAATTATGCGTACTTAATACGTGCAACATATACAGGCTAAGGTGTTGCAGGAATGATAATTAATTTATTTTAATTATTTGATAGTGATTCAGATTTTGCATGAACGGAAATGTTTTGCACTTTGTGCATCGAACTATCTTTGGTGACTGAGTAAAATCTCATTAACATAAGCTTTGAGATTTACATTTGACGAACCATTTTCCTTTGTAGCTTCCTTCGCCAAATCCTTCCATTTCTTGGCATTTTTCTTAAGCTCAACCCTTTTTTCTCCGTCTTTCATTACAATCTCTATACACCTCTTGAACTCATCTCTTTCGACGACACCTTCTTTACTGGCATTTACTCTTACGCCAATCTTCCAAACATCTTGAACGAGCTTAGCATTGCAACCTTGATCGGTCCACAACGGACACGCCACAATTGGCATGCCAGAAGACAGACTCTCCAAAGTCGAATTCCATCCACAGTGAGTCAAGAAACAACCTAAAGACGGGTGTTGTAACACTTCCACTTGCGAGCACCAACGCACGATTTTCCCTTGTTTTTCTAATTCCTCTTTACAAGTCAATTTTTCCTCAGGATGACCCCCTTCTTTTTCTTCTCTAATCACCCACAAAAACGGCCTTCCACATTTTACCAATCCTTGACCTATTTCCTCCATCAATTGACTTGATATCTCAGAGTAACTACCAAATGCTATATAAATAACCGATTCTTTAGTCATTGTATCCAACCAATCCATGTAATTTTCCGAACTCGACCTTAAATCAGCTCCAAATGACTTATCTAAAGGATCATTTCCATCGAGAAAAGCCGAAGGAATTGAAGGACCAATTCCAACCATAGTTAAATTCTTCAATGCCCTCAAAGCATCAAATTCCAAATCATCAAAAGTGTTCACAAGTACTCTTGGATTTTCTTCGCTATTCAATAACTCAATTTGGTCTATGATAGACTTAACTCCCCAACCATACTTAGAATTCACATCGGTGAACACAAACGAGGGAAAATCACGAGGACTTAGTTGAGGTAATCCTGGAAGATCTACAACTTGATCTTCAGAACAATTCTTAAAACAATCAGCGTAGTCAGTGAAGCAATAATAATAAATGTCCATGACCGTGGCGGGTTGGATCCAAAAAAATGTAGATGGGACATTAATGCCCTTAGCCACTATACCAACCCATGCCATGAGGGTTGTGTAAATGACACGTTTGAAAGGGCGGCCCTCAACCGCCCTAGATTCTATGATTTGAGTCATGAATTCAGAACCATGACTTACTAGGGAAGAATAAAATGACTCGAACTCATCTAGCGATCCTTCAAATTTTCCATCATAGCCATCAGAAAAAGGAGTAAAGCTTAATCCTTCAATATTTGGAAGTTTAGAAATACGATTAAAAGCTGTTAGGCTAGTGGAAAAAGTGACATTTAATCCTAAATTAACTAGTTTTTTGGCAAATTGAAGAGATGGATTAATATGACCTTGACCTGGAAATGTTACAAGAAGAACATGACAATCATTCTTCAAGTTTTCCATGATTCTTTGGTGTAAGATATAATTTTATTAACTAATTTATGGTAGAACGTAAGGTTGAACTAATGAGAGTTTATATAGAGAGAAAATTATTGAAATATGTGACCGATTGATGACGTTTGTGGTGACAAAATGCATTTTAAAATAAAATTAATTCATCGATTGTTTCAAAGACACTAATTCATATAGGATAAGAATTCTTGTAGAATAATAAAACAAGAAGAAGTTACCAAGAAATATGTCAAAACATTTTATGTCCTTTTAGACAGTGATAGCCATGAAAAAAGTTGTATAGATTATGCTCAATGTTTTGAATTTAAAAGAAAAAAAAATAGCAAAGGAGGGAGAGTAGAAAGTACCTAATATCAATTAATGTTTACACATTTTTTATTTTTATTTTTTTAATTTATCACTAGACAGTGTCTAGCGATCTTTTATTAAGCATAAAAAAAATCAATCGAAATAAGTACAAGCAAAAGAAATTAAACCTTACCTTATCTCTAGAAAACTATTAAACTAGGAGACCATGTAAAAATAATAACAAACTCCCTTCATAAAATTAGCTAACAAAAATAAGAGGAAATTTGGAAAATTTGCACCAAAAACCCATGTGACTTTATCTCATATTTATATTTGCTGTGATTTTCAGCCCTTGTTGGGTGAGAATTCAACACACTTTGGACTGAAATTTTGGCCCTCTTCTTAGTCTTCATGTGACCCTAAATTTAGGCCCTTTAGGATTCAAACTTGGATCATGAAATATGTAACATATATAACGTGAATTTCATATATTCGAGGCTAATTACATTTTATTCTGATAGTTTTTCAAATTACAAAAATTTTAGATTTTTATTACTCTTGAATGCATTTCTTGGTTGTCCGATGCCTTACAAATAATAGAGATGTATCCAACTTTCAAGAGAGGATTTTTATAACTTTTTTAAAATGATAGGGAACTTTAGAGATTATGTATAATATCTTAAGTTGTGTATGTTTTTTAATGGCATAATACATAAATATTTTCTTTAACTTGACTTCGTATTACATTTATGCCCTTCAACTTTGATGTGCACAAGTAGGCACTTAAACTTGTATAAAGTTAAATAAATGGACACATATGTCCTACATGTCATTTTTTGTCTTACGTGATGTCTTACGTGTATTGTACTATGTAAGACTCATGTTTTTATTTATTTAAAAGTTGGATAGTTAAAGTGTGTTTGTTTGTGCATTATGAAAATTAAAGGTTAAAGTTAAAATTTAAAGCCAAATTTAAAGTCCAATATATGTATTATATCTTTTTAAATGATATGAAATTTTCGAGAAACAAATCTACAGATAGTTGATCATTCAAGGTGCAAATAAATCACCAGGCTAAAGGACGATATCACTGCACATGAAGTAAGTACATCTAACATATTTCTCCTAATGATAATCTAAATACAAACCTGTATTGTGATTATTTAAAATTGTGAATGAATACGAAATTAAAAATAAACTAGTTGGTATAAATATATATTGAGCAAAATAAAATACAAAATTATTTGACTAATACAATTAGGATAAATACACATATAATGAATACATAAATAAACTGTATTTTGGCTATTTATAGTTGAGAATGAATAAGAAATCAAAATATAAATACAAAAATTTATGATATACTTTAGGACGAATACGAAATCAAATCTAAATACAAATTTTATGATATACATTAGGACGAATACGAAATCAAATCGAAATACAAACTATTTGGTATACAAAGAGATATTGAAAATAAACAAAATAAAATACATATGTAATCATGAATACATAAGCATTGTATTTTGAAAACTAGAAATTTTTTTAAAAGGAGATACATAAACTTCATAACCTTAACATGATAGCCAAATAACTTCATAAAATTTTAGACATTTTTAAAAATAAATTATAATTTCATAACGCCAAAATATGCCTTGGTAGAATAAAGTGCTTCAAAAAAAATTAAGAAAATTGAATATTGAATTTTTAGATAAATGGTGATAGACCTGTTTTTTTTTAACATGGTGAAAGAAGAAGAAAGAGATGGAAGTTGTGTATTTTGATAAATTGTCAATTAGTTCTTTGTTTTTGAATTTTTATAACTGATAAGAATTTTAAGCAACTATTTCTTTTTAATATTTTGCTCTCCCCTTAATTTCTCCTTTCTGCTTTTAACAATTATTTCTTTTTTGACATTTTTATTAAATATTAAAAGTATTGACAATAAGTCTTATTAAATGTCAAACTCTTGACATTTTGCAAATTTTCCCTTTTATATATTATCTCTTACTATAGATAATTGGTTCATAATATTTGTCATTTCATAGAATCAATACATAAATTACAGTATTTTTCCTATTATAACCTTGATAGTTAATTAGTTTTGAAAATAGATATTCGACCAACCTACAAAAATTAATAAGTAATTAATGTTCATTATAATACTTCATACATTGATTAATTACTCTCACCATTTCACTACTCTATAAAATCTGATTTGAAAAAGAAATCTCAACAACCAAATTAAAAATAAAAGATAGAGAAAAAATAAAAAAATAGTCTTAGAAAGTTGAAGATTAAAAGCAAAATCAGAAGACTCAACCAAAATAGGTGAAGGCCAATTTAAGAAAAAAATAAGATCCAAATAAAAGAGTCCTCGTCTAATTTCATTATAATAAATAATAACAGATAGTATTAAATAAATAGTATTAAATAATATTAGTATATTAGTACTCCTAGTCTAGTACTCCTTAATCCTAGTCCTATTAGGATTATCTTCTATATATATCTCCCATGTATCCCCTTGTTAGGTTAACACTTCAATACAATCAATATTCCTTCGGTAAATAACATAAGATTAACAAGAATATTTAGTTCTTTGAAGTAATGGAATTTAAATATTTTATAATATTGTCAGTGTTTACTTTAAGAGTTTATAAAAAATCATTTTTACACAAAATATATAGAAATATTGAGGTGAGAATTTTTTCTTCTTCAAATTCTGGATCAATTTATAGTGAAAAAAAAATTGACTCCGAAAATAAACTCAAAAATTTAAATAGTTATTTAAATACATTTCAATTTTTAAAATCTAATATATCTATTTTATCGAAAAGCTAACTTCAATAAAAAAATTATATAAAAATAAAATTGTAAACTTACTTAATTGTTAATACAAGTAAAATTAAATTAAAAGAAACAGAGAAAGTACTCAGTAATTTGTGATTCACGAGATATAATTTAAAATCGAAAAAATAATGAATTTGGTAAGTCATTTGGATAACTATTATCACTTGACACTTTGTTGTCCTATAAAATGCCTCACCAAATATGGCAACAAATCTCACATTAGAGACAGATAAAGAAATTAAAAATATGAATCAATTATCAATGATTGATACTACTATTACACGTCCATTGGCAAATTATCACTCAAGTGTATGGAAAAACTATTTTCTCTCCTACACTCCTCAACTCACAGTATGTCTCGTTTTTTTTGAGATAGGCTTGATCGATATATCGTATATTTGTTCGTTATTTATATTAGCTAACATTATATTTATAGTTTTTGATCCTAAATTTTTGTTACCTTTCATTTGTTTTCTATTTTTCGTTATATCCTTTTACTTTCGTATATATATATTTTTCAAGTTCTTTTTTTGTGTCGAGGAATTTTTATAAACAATCAATTTATCTTTACTGGATAGAGATAAAGTGTACTTTATATATCCTTCACAAATCTCACCTATAAAATTACAATGACTTTATTACTATTATTATTTAATTTTGTTATTTGATGTTATTTTATATAAAGGTGGTGGAACACTAATAACATTTAACATTTGGTGCAGGAAATTAGTAGCCAAGAAAAACTTGAACTTGAAGAGTTGAAAGAAAAAGTAAGGCAAATGTTAGTGGAAACTTCTGATAAAAGTACACAAAAACTTGTCTTGATTGACACAATTCAACGATTGGGAGTGGCATATCATTTCGATAATGAGATCAAAATATCTATTCAGAATATTTTTGATGAGTTTGAGCAGAATAAAAATGAAGATGATAACGATCTTTACATTGTTGCTCTTCGTTTTCGACTAGTGAGAGGACAAAGGCATTACATGTCTTCTGGTATCGTATCTATTCTCTAAGCCCTTTCTAGTCAAAAGTAAAATATTGGCCAAGTGAATTCAGAACTTAATCTTTACGAATATAAAAATTTCACTAAAAAATGATAACATAATATTTGATCATCAAAAATTAAACGGATAAGATTCTATACGTCTTCTTAACTAGTTTAATATATAACTAACTATGACCGACAATTAATCAGATGTGTTCAAAAAGTTCACAAACGATGATGGAAAATTCAAGGAAACTCTTACTAAAGATGTTCAAGGCTTATTAAATCTATATGAAGCAACACATCTAAGAGTACACGGAGAACAAATTCTTGAAGAAGCTCTATCTTTTACCGTTACTCATCTCAAGTCCATGAGCCCTAAATTGGACAGTTCACTCAAGGCCCAAGTTAGTGAAGCCTTGATCCAGCCCATTTACACAAATGTACCAAGAGTGGTAGCTCCTAAATACATACGTATTTACGAGAACATTGAATCACACGATGATTTACTTTTGAAATTTGTAAAGTTGGATTTCCACATTTTGCAAAAGATGCACCAAAGAGAGCTTAGTGAACTTACAAGGTATATATGTATACATCTATCCGCTTCAATTAAACACATGAACATGATACGTATCTACGTCGTGTAATATATTAAAAATATTATTTATATATGTAGGTGGTGGAAAGATCTAGATCATTCAAACAAATATCCATATGCAAGAGACAAACTAGTGGAATGTTATTTTTGGGCAACAGGGGTGTATTTTGGGCCACAATACAAACGTGCAAGAAGAATGATAACAAAATTAATCGTTATCATTACAATTACTGATGATCTATATGATGCTTATGCAACTTATGACGAACTTGTGCCCTACACTAATGCAGTCGAAAGGTAAAACTTATATAAATTTATAAATTGTTAATTAAACGTGCAACATGGGTACGTTTTTTGAGTAAGAAATATATGTGTTATTTATGTATGTACAGATGTGAAATTAGTGCTATGGATTCGATATCGCCCTATATGAGACCTCTTTATCAAGTATTTTTAGATTATTTTGACGAAATGGAAGAAGAATTGACCAAAGATGGTAAAGCACACTATGTCTACTATGCAAAAGTTGAGGTAATTAAGCTAAGTTTGCTATGAATATAACTTGGCTCCATTAATCAGTTAAATCATAAATCGATCATTTACTTTACAAATAACGCTTTTGATATGTATAAATATATTCTCATTTTAATTTTTAGATGAATAAGTTGATCAAAAGCTATCTTAAGGAAGCAGAATGGTTGAAAAATGACATTATACCAAAATGTGAGGAATATAAGAGAAATGCTACTATAACGGTAGCCAATCAAATGATTTTGATTACTTGTTTGATTGTTGCGGGCGAATTTATATCCAAGGAGACTTTTGAATGGATGATAAATGAGTCTTTGATCGCTCCAGCTTCATCACTAATCAATCGACTAAAAGACGATATTATTGGACATGAAGTAAGTATATAAATATGCTAATATATTATATTATATAGTTTGAACTTACAGAAATAGATATTTAATTTAAACGTCATACTGAAATGTATTTGATGCAGCACGAACAACAAAGAGAGCATGGAGCTTCATTCGTTGAATGTTACGTGAAAGAATATAGAGCTTCAAAACAAGAGGCATATGTTGAGGCTCGTAGGCAAATAGCAAATGCATGGAAAGATATAAACACAGATTATTTACATGCTACTCAAGTACCAACGTTTGTACTACAACCTGCATTGAATCTTTCACGTCTCGTAGATATTCTCCAAGAGGATGATTTTACAGATTCACAAAACTTCCTTAAAGACACAATCAAATTGTTGTTTGTTGACTCTGTCAATAGTACATCATGTGGATAATCGAACTATTCATCAAGTGTACGTTTTAAGCAAACAATGTGTGTGTTTGAGGTGGATGGGTAGGGGGTGTGACATGTTGTGTTTGTTTGCACTCATATTTTCTTTTAATAAAATGTAATAATAATAAATGAAGTTGTATTGAAGCTGGTTCATTTTCATTTTGAAATGATATGTATGTCATGCTAAGTAGAGTAGTAGGTAAACTTACAAGGTAAAAGAGACATAACTTTGAGTTTCGTTGATTTAGAGCGTGATAATTTTATTAGTTTTTGAAAGTTAACAATTTGTTAGTACAAACACAAAATATCGATAAAAATTATTTAGTTTGATTAAATTAATGATAAAAACTAGTACTTTGTCGCTAAATAGCAAAAATTGTAATTAAATTGTCAAAATGTTCCACATTGATAGAGAAATGAAAATCTGATTCCTTATATGGATTTGGACAAACCTCTTCTTATGAACTATCATTTTGGGTTGAGTTAGACTTATGTGTATATATTTGTTTGAAGTCTATGTATACATGTTAGGAACAAATTATGTTAGCTTCTTTTAATGAAAAGTTATTTTTTTTAATTGAGTTAATTTTTCAAACTAAACTTCATAATTTTAGTGCATATTTCTTATATAAAGCATTTAACTTAATTATGAAGTTCAATTTTCTTATAAAGTAGGATCAAAGCAACTTTCTATAAAGTTGAAACTTTTCTGATTATTAAGAAGGAAAAAGGGAAATTAGGGTGTGACTTGTATTTGGAATTTTAATGATCAAATAAATCCTAAAATAAAAAATAAACCCACCTATTATTTCTAAGAATTGCGATAGAGCGATAAATAATATTTTATTTTATTTAATAATTTCCTAAAACAAAAAATAAATCTACAAATCATTTTTAAGAATCGTAATAGAAAAATAAGTATATTTTATTTTATTTAAAAATTTCAAATTCGAACTCTCTAAATGTCTTTTTTTTTACCTTCACTACCCCTTTTCATGTTCCTTTTCCAACATAACTCCCACATCTCCATTCTTGTCTAGCAAAACCAAAATACATAATTCAAGAACAAACTTGAAAGTTGAAACCTTCCCCCCCCCCAGACACCCCCCCCCCCAATCTCCATTTTTCCTTATTTATGCACCCACCACCCTAACATCTCCACCCCCACCCCGCTCACAATCAATGGCCTTCCACCACCACCACTATCTCCTTCTCCACCTTCTCCTTTTCTTCACTTCCCTTTCTTTCACCTTCTCAGATGATGCTGATGTTATGTCCAAGCTTCTTGCAGCTCTTTCTCCAACTCCTTCTGGTTGGTCAACTTCTAAGCCTTTCTGTTCTTGGACTAATGTCATTTGTGACAAGTCTTCAGCTACAGTAACTTCAATTAATCTTGATTCTCAATCTGTTTCTGGTTCTTTACCTTCTGAAATTACTCAACTTTCTAATCTTAAAACCCTTTCACTTCAAAAAAACAAACTTTCTGGCCCTTTACCTTCTTTTGCCAACATGTCAAAATTAGCTGATCTTTTCTTGGACAATAACCAATTCACTTCTGTTCCTCAAGATTTCCTTTTGGGGGTTCCTAGTTTAGTAACTTTAAGCATTAGTGAAAATGCGGGACTCTCTCCTTGGCAAATACCTATGTATTTAACTGAAAGTACAAATTTGGGATCTCTATATGCTAGTAATGCAAGTATTGTTGGTGTTATTCCTGATTTCTTTGATGTTTTTCCTAATTTACAGAATTTAAGGTTGTCTTATAATAATCTTACTGGTTCTTTGCCTGCTTCTTTTGGGGGTTCTGAAATTATGAATCTTTGGTTGAATAATCAAGTTAAAGGGTTATCAGGTAGTATTGATGTGATTGGAAGTATGACACAATTGTCTCAAGTTTGGTTACATGCTAATTCTTTTACTGGTAGTATTCCTGATTTGTCAAAATGTGAGAATATATTTGATTTGCAGTTAAGGGATAATCAGTTTACTGGTATTGTACCTGAGTCTGTGATGTCTCTTCCCAAATTGTTGAATATTACTTTACAGAACAATAGGTTGCAGGGTCCAATGCCTCAGTTTAAAGATGGGGTTGAGGTTAAACTTGGAACTACTAATAGTTTCTGTAAGGATACTCCGGGACCGTGTGATCCACAGGTCACTACACTTCTTGATGTGGCTGGTGGTTTTGGATATCCATTGTCTTTGGCTGAGTCTTGGAAGGGGAATGATGCTTGTAATAGTTGGAGTTTTATAAGTTGTGATACCACTGGGAAGAATGTAGCTGTTGTTACCTTAGGTAAGAGGGGGTTTTCAGGTACTATTTCGCCTGCTTTTGCGAATTTGACTTCGTTGAGGAGCTTGTTTTTGAATGACAATAATCTTACTGGTACGATCCCGGAGAGGTTGACAACTTTGCCTAATTTACAAGTTCTTGATGTGTCTAATAATAATTTGTCTGGACCTATACCATTGTTTCCACCTAGAGTGAAGTTCAATCATAATGGTAACTTGTTTCTTGGGACGAATATTACTACTGGGGATGATGGTGGGGGAAATGGTTCTGGATCGAATTCCAGTGGTCAAGGTGGAAGTTCATCTGGTGGTTCAAAAGGGCCATCAGTTGGAATGATTGTTGGTGTTGTTATAGCTGTTGTTCTTTTCGTTTTAGTAGTGTTGTTTGTGTCTTACAAATGTTACATGAAGAGACGCCATAAGAGATTTGGAAGGGTTGAGACTCCGAAGAAAAGCAATGAAATGGTTAAGCCTAGTCTCCCAAGTGTCGTGGGTGGTTCGAATAGATATACTGGTGGCACCAGTGAGTTACAAAGTCAGAGCAGCGGTGATCATAGTGAGATACCTGTTTTTGAAAATGGAAATGTTGCCATTTCCATCCAGGTCCTTCGACAAGTGACGAACAACTTCAGTGAAGAAAATATCTTGGGGAGAGGAGGGTTTGGAGTTGTTTATAAGGGTGAACTACATGATGGGACTAAAATCGCGGTGAAGAGGATGGAATCTGGGGCAATGGGTACCAAAGGAATGAACGAGTTCCAAGCAGAAATTGCGGTCCTTACCAAAGTCAGACATAGGCACTTGGTTGCTCTACTTGGTTCATGTGTTAATGGAAATGAGAGACTTTTGGTGTATGAGTATATGCCGCAAGGAACTTTGAGTCAGCATTTGTTTGAATGGCAAGAATTAGGCTACAAACCTCTTACTTGGAAGCAAAGGGTAACGATAGCATTGGATGTGGCAAGAGGGGTTGAATACCTTCATAGCTTGGCACAACAAAGTTTCATTCATAGAGATTTAAAACCGTCAAACATCCTTCTCGGAGACGACATGAGAGCCAAGGTTGCAGATTTTGGTTTGGTTAGAAATGCCCCTGATGGAAAGTATTCTGTGGAGACACGTTTGGCTGGAACTTTTGGCTATCTTGCACCTGAATACGCGGGTAAGCATTTCCACTCCTTGTATCATTACATCTTTTTTAACCGAGAACTGATTTGTATGCCCCTAGCTGTAAACTTTAGATCTTAGTAAATTTTAAAATTATTCGATCATCTGCATTGCTAGGCATTCTGGTCTTCATTACATTTAGAGACATTTGGCACATAGTGTTAATACTGAGGCAATCTCCATGCGTAAATGCTGCTTTGTCATTTTTATCGAACTCATGAACTATATGCTACTATTATAAAAGATAAGTTTCCATTTCGTGTGGATCAGCATCTGAATTATTATCCTATTACATCTCCTCTTTGTTACAGCTACTGGACGAGTCACAACCAAAGTAGACGTTTACGCCTTTGGCGTTGTTTTGATGGAGATCATTACTGGTAGAAAAGCTTTAGATGAAACAATGCCAGATGAGAGGTCTCATTTGGTTACATGGTTCCGTAGAGTCCTTATCAACAAAGAAAGCCTCCGAAAGGCTATTGACTCGACACTTGATCCTGATGATGAAACATATGAGAGCATTTCCAAGGTTGCCGAGTTAGCTGGCCATTGCACTGCTCGGGAACCTTTTCAGCGGCCTGATATGGGACATGCTGTTAACGTCCTTGGTCCGCTTGTAGAGCAGTGGAAGCCTACAACAAGTGAAGATGATGACGGCTATGGTATTATTGACCTTGACATGAGCCTTCCTCAAGCCCTTCAAAGGTGGCAAGCTGATGAAGGAACTTCAAGAATGTTCGATGACTTCTCGATCAGTCATTCACAGTCGAGCATACCCTCAAAACCTTCCGGATTCGCAGATACTTTCAGTTCAACAGATTGCAGATGATATGCGAAAAAAATTGACAACAGTTCAAGCCATGCCATGCCACGCCACGCCTCAGAGCGATTTCAATCCTTTATGGATCAACATAGAGTATGCCAATATTCATTGATTCATTGGTTTCTTCTTGGTCAATGTCATTTACTTTTTATGTGATTACATATTTAAGTTAAAATATAGTCTTGATGTAAGGTGTGTGATAAACAGTTAAAAAGTCAGGTGAATGTCACATTTTCTTTTGCCTCTTTGAAGACAGAAGAAAATTGTAACAAATTTTTTCATATTACATTATTAATGTAAATAAAATTTTGAGTTCCCCCCTCCAAACATGAAGTTGAATATTCTTACTTTGTGTAGTACTTCTCCAACATTTTATTCGTTGATCCTTCAAAAAGTATACTATTTTTTGACACGCACCTTTCGACATTTTTAAAAAGTTACAATATGTAGTCTATATTGCCAGGCTGTAAGAGAACCTGTGGAGTTTGTAAATAGATGATTTTTCAGAGCCACAAAGATTTGTCATGTTGAAACAAATTTTTGCTGGATCTATGCTGTCAGTAGCCTATCTTTTTGCTGTTTTTCTTGTTTTTTTTTTTTTCTGTTTTTTGAAGAAAAAACAAATATTATAATTGAAGAAGTTTTACAAGTGTGAAGTCATATTTCACATGGGAATGAAAAAGAATATAAGTAAGTATAATATTTTATTTGCTTGCTATAAACTTTTTTTAATGTCAAGTTGTGGTGCACATGTAGTGGGGACCATATGCCAAATAATCATCGCATATCAAATATTTTTTAAGATAGTCACATAGCCTTTTTAAAGAAAAAAATAATAATAATACACGGAGTGCGTTGATACAATAAAAGTAATTTTTCATGCTTTCTCCGAAATAAATTCTAGAGTCTTTGATGGATGAGTAAAAACATATTTATCAATAAACGTACGATTAAATTCAAAGAGTATTTTTCAAAAAATCTAAATGATAATCAAAGCTAATAATATAAAAAAACAAATCAAGATATAGTTTATGAAAAATGACTTCCGTGATTTATGCGTATCAAATAGTAATTCATTTAAAGAAATGATTTTATCAATTTTAGGTAACAAAACACCTAAAGAAAATGTCATATTTTTTTTTCCTAAAATGACTTCATTTATACGAGATGGCACCCCATAATTCATCGATCAATTTATTTATTTATATTTGCATAAAATGTCATAATCATGACATGACACGTAGAGGATTAGCATGGAGAAACATGTACAAAGGTCAAAATAGATGTTTAATCTTGAATTTGTTGGTAACCACTAATCATTATTCTAATGCAGAGTGTTAATATCTCTGTCTCTGCTAATTAATAACGGCCATAAATTAGTAATTATAATAGACAAGTGCCATGATTCAAGGGCCAAGGGAAAGTCAATCATGGATGTTTTTTTTTTTTTTTTTATTGATATACTCATTAGACTAATTCGGATATAATAACGTTCATTAAAATAAAAAAAGATAGATTTATCGTGAATTTTTTTTAAATTAGAAGTAAAAAAAACACTTGTTTGTCTCATCATAATGCGTTAAAAATGAAGTTGATCCAAATATATTTAAGCCATACCATCATATATTGTTGTTTTTCCTTTTAATTTAATGATGGGTTGATTAAACTACATATTTAAAAATTTATTGGACGGCAAAAACAACACGTAAATATGTTGGGGATAAACTATAAAAGAATTATTTCTTTATTTGGCATGTTAGATTAATCATGTTAGTTCGGTTTCTTGTATGATTAAAAATTAAAAGTTTTATTAATTTAAATTAATTATTTATCTTTTTTTATCAATATAATGTAATCTAATATTAGGATATTTTTTTTACAATTTCTTAAGTCAATACAAGGTAATTTCTAATAACCCAAACTTGAGTTTGTTTATATCGGAAGTTTGTTTGCTTTCAAATATTATGAAATTAGTCTCTGACAAACTAAAACTTTAGATGCATATGATTGGAGTTTAGAAAAATTTAGATTTGTGTGTTTGAAATTATTTTAAAGTGGCTAAACTTGTAAAGAATTTAAGAACTTCGGTTCTATCTTAAATGATGTCCTTAAAATTGGCTATATGTGCAATCCTTTACCTCCAAATTGGTAAAAAGGGGAAGTTATTTAGTCCAGAGCACATATTGTTTTGGATTTACTGTGACAAAGCCCAATAAAAACTTTCACATATAGCCACTTAAAAATAGCTTAATTACTCTACAATTCATAACTACATGTTATATGGAGGAGAGAGGCAAGTGAGGTTGGGAGAGAGAGGAGAGAGAGGGGGGGGGGGGAAAGAATGGGAGAAATGTGAATTGTATGTGTATATCGGTTAGATAATTATATATTATACATATGTATTTGTATATATAGCAAGTGAGATTGAGAAAGGGAGGAGAGAGGTAAGCGAGACTGGAAGAGGGAGGAGAGAGGCGATCGATATTGAGATAGGGAAGAGAGAGGCGAGTGAGAGATGGCAGAGAGTGGGAGAGAGGTGAATTGTATATGTATATAATTGTATATTATACATATGCATTTGTATATATGACAAGCGAGATTGGGAGAGGGAGGAGAGAGGCGAATGAGATTGGGAGAGGGAGGAGAGGCGAGCGAGATTGAGAGAGGGAGTAGAGAGGCGAACGAGAGAGGGCAGAGAGTGGGAGTGAGGTGAGTTGTATATGTATATATGTTAAATAATTGTATATTATACACATGTATTTTTATATTCTGGCTAATTACACATATACAAACATGACTAATTATACAAACTCAAAATCAGTCCACGTAATTTATGTATAATGTTAGTCGCGAATGGTAATTATAGCAAACTATAGTTATAATGAGTAATTAAATAATATAAGTTTGCTTAACTGCGTAATTTTTCCTAGTAATATACGCTCTTAAATATGTCATTTATTAAATAAATTTTCTCTTCAAATATCTTTACAAACTACTCCAATCATCCATCTTCAAGTAGCCTTTACATTTTTTCTTTAATATATCTACAATACTTTTGCATAGGAGTGGATATAGCTAGGTTTCCTCCATCCATGTTGTATTTATTATTCATAGATTTTACTATCACAAACGCCGAGTAATCATAGACTTCATAATAAATTAAATCAAAAATATGAGCAAAAACAACCTTGTTATTCATATCAATCAAATCATGCTTGCCTTTTTCGATTCAACTTTTAACTCTACATCAACAAATAAATAGATTTCCTCTTTGGATATTCTTAGTTGATTTTCATAATTCTCTTAAAAATTATCATACGAAGAACTTGCAAATTTAAGACATTTATTATATTGACATAATGCTTTTGTTACTATATATATCCGAATGATCGGTTAATTCACTATTAAAACTCTAAAAATTTCTAAACTTCCATGTATGTCAAACAATATTTTTCTCATGTTTGAAGAACTTTTCTAACTTGGAGTTGGAAGATAAAATTGAGTTTCAAAATTTTGAATTTGCCTTCATGTTGAATTTGAAATTTCCATAATTAAGTATTAATTTATAATTTTTTAAAAAATGCACCCACCACATGCATGCCCCTATTTTTCTATTAAATAATTCTAAACAAATGACAAACATTCACTCTATCCTCTATTGGCAGTAGGAATAATGTACAAAATTTGGCACACATTTCTATTAAGATATATTCTTCTAGCATTGGATACTTATAATGTTTGGCCAAAGCTTATGAAAATTTAAGTATTTTTAAAAAAAAATAAAAAAATTGAGATGTTTACATAAGTTTTTAGATAAAGAGTAGGTATTACCTTATAGCTTTATTAAATATAAACTATTGCTCTAATAGTCATATTTGATAGTAATTTAAATCATATATAATGTAATCAATTGAATAAATAATTTGTATATAACTTATGCATCAATATAATAGCAAAACAACAAAATTTGTTGCGTCAAGCTATGTAGGTAGAAACTACAATAGTTAACAACTTTAATATTTAAAAAATATACACAAAAAATTATATTATTTTTATCTCATATTATGTGACACTATTTTTTTTAGTCTGTATTTGAAATAATACTATCATTATATTATAATTAAATTTTAAATTCTTCTTTTACGCTACCATCATAAAACATCTAAAAATGTTTTAATTTTTTTTTTTAAAAAAATTCTTAAATACTATAATAAATATTATCGAATAAAATGTTGGAAATAATAATTAAAACTTAGTTGACTGCCCAAATTTCATTTATTATGCTAACATAAATGGGACAGGTAGGAACATGTTCTTTTTAATTTTTAACCAAAAAAGTGTGTATAGGTTGGTTGTTGGTGTCACTTGTCAGCTAACACACTAATAAAGTAGTGCTAGTATTAAACACAACACACACTCTTTGTCACCACTGATAAAGTTTTCATTTTTTCCGAGTTTCATATCTAAATTATTAGACGGAAATTTTATTATTCGAATTATAGTTATTAATTACCGCACTTATAAAAATTATATTAACTTTATTTTTAGAAGTTAATTATTTAGATTTATATTAGTTTGTAATATTATATATCTTATCAAATTTTAGACTTTGAATACAAGTATCTGACACATTCAAATATGTTTTAGATACAGTGTATCTAAATGTATTCATGTGTATTTGACTATCGCCACTCTTCGTGCATCTGATGTCTTAATATATGTATCTAATATGATTCATATGTATATAGAAATCTCGCTTGCCTATTTTCATATTTTAGCATATTTGACTTGAAATTTAATATTAATTAGTAAGATAATATATAATTATTTTAAGTTATAGAGAAAATTAGTAAATATAATCAAAATATTGGTCTAACTAGACTCAACATTAATAGTTTAAATATATTTTTGACGATTAGCTCGTAAATAAAATTCTTAAAAATGTCTCAATCCTTCAACTTTTATGGAGTTTTTTTGTCAACACTTGTAAATTAAAATTCTTTAAATGTCCTTCTGCAGTTAATTCGGCCAATTGATTATTTTTCTCCGTATATTTCAATGCTGCTCTTTTTCTTACCTAATTTATACTTGTTGACTCTTTCTTCTCATCATTAATACTCTTAAAGATTTATCTTTTTCAAAGAAAATTTTAGATTACCAGTGATGATTACTACTACTATGAGTTTGAAATCCAATCTTTTTGCTACCCCATGTAGGGGAAGACATGGGGTTAGCCAGTTTTGGTCTCAGCAGCAATTGGTAACAATTCTTGTTTCGAAAAGTCGAAAACTTGGTCGAGTTCACTGTCAGTCTAAGGTGATTCTTGA